GTTAAAGAGCAAATAGAAAAAAAAATTAATTATTCTTTTTGCTTGAAATTGACAAAAAATAAATCTTTCCATAATTAGAGAAAATAGTTGATACCTTGATTGGATTCTACTGTTAGCCGAAAATCAAAACATAAACAGAACTAACAATGTTCTTTTGCTATTGTTAATTTTTCATTATTGGATTATTTTATAAATGTTAATTTTCTATTTTCAAAATCGAAAAATAGAAGTTTACTCATCTTACGAGAAATTCCTTTAATTTATTTCGTATTAAAGTACATACGTAGAAATTAATTTATGGTAACATAAATGTAACAAGTTTGAAATATCAATATATCCGATTAAAACAATATTTAAAAAACACATATTTTAAGTAGTTTTAGAGATTGAGACACAATGACTCCACACGTCATCCCTCTTCTTCAAGTATTGTGTTTCACGGCCAACTAATGATGGTCTGTCAGCAATATATTTAATGAGATTATCGTGACACACTTTTCCTTCTTGGACAAGATCGTGGCAACAAGACTCAATGAGGGTTCCGTTTCCAAAAACAACAGCGATTATATTCAATGCACACTTAGGAGTGATTTTAACCAGACAAGTGTCCCATAATGTTTTTGCTTCAGCTTCTTCTACTGAAAATGCAGGAACAAACGCACACACCAATGCTACAACAATGAATAGCGCAGTAACATGGGAGCTTAGATTAGCCATATTTTTTTCTTATGCTTGGAATTTACCGACTTATTCTTACTGTATGAAAAGAATGTAATGAAGTATATATTTTTATTTGGTATTCTAGACAAGAAGCTATGTAAACTATTTATATGTTATTGAGTATCCAACGTAACTAAAATAAATTACAAAATAAACTTAAGAAATTAATGTGAGTTTTTTAACTTCTTGACAATTAAAAACAACGTACGTTAAAATTTATATTTTCGATCAGGTTTTTTGAAATTTAAATCCAAAAGTAATGCAAGTAGTGATATCAAGTTCAACTTACAAATTAATGATTGAATTTAAAATTATGTCAAAGTAGAAGCCAAATTATTAGATATGAAGTTCAAACTTGATATATATATATATAAGATTTTAAATTAAATAACTACAAGGTTCAAATATTAAGTCCTCTAAATATATTTCACTATGAGCGTTTGAAAGCCTAACTCACATTTATTTTAATGATGTTAGTCAAATGAATAATTATATTTTGAAAATTTAGTTTAATCTAAAAGATTAATAAATGGCAATTGGGTAATATATTCGAAAGGTAGGGATATGGTCTAGATTCATAACTAATAATTCTGCAAAACTTCCATCAAAAACATAAGATATAATAACTATCAATGACGCAAAAATATATTTTATGGATCCCATACTAAGTAAAAATGTTTGGAAAAACTAAAAGCTAAATAAAGAGAGTCGATTTAAAACATTGAAAAAAGAAGCAATAGATTGAAATTGACATATTTATGTGGTTGAGTGGACATTATTATCAATGTTAACCTAGCCTACTTTTGGTTTTGGAGTTCTAAGCAACTTTTACCATAACTATTACAAGACTCTAAAAGTAATATTTATGTCAAATACTTAAAGAATAATTGTTCAATTTACTACATAAACGGATTCGACACACACCCTTTCGAACTTTTTCTTTAGTTTAGAATTTAAGTTTTGTGTAGATTTTGAAAGAAAACAAAAAGAAGTGTTGGTTTGTTTTTGGAGGTTTTGATTTATACAATTTTGAAATAAAAGTTAAAAGAGCAAATAGAAAAATAGTTTAATTATTGTTTTTGCTTGAAATTGACAAGAAATAAATCTTTCCATAATTAGAGAAAATAGTTGATACCTTGATTGGATTCTACTGTTAGCCGAAAATGTAAACATAAACAGAACTAACAATGTTCTTTTGCTATTGTTACTTTTCATTATCTGATTATTTCATAAATGTTAAATTTTTATTTTCCAAATCGAAAATAGAAGTTTACTCATCTTACGAGAAATTGCTTTAATTTATTTCGTATTAAAGTACATACGTAGAAATTAATTTATGGTAACAAAAATGTAACAAGTTTGAAATATCAATATATCTGATTAAAATAATATTTTAGAAACACATATTTTAAGCAGTTTTAGAGATTGAGACACAATGACTCCACACGTCATCCCTCTTCTTCAAGTATTGTGTTTCACGGCCAACTAATGATGGTCTGTCAGCAATATATTTAATGAGATTATCGTGACACACTTTTCCTTCTTGGACAAGATCGTGGCAACAAGACTCAATGAGGGTTCCGTTTCCAAAAACAACAGCGATTATATTCAATGCACACTTAGGAGTGATTTTAACCAGACAAGTGTCCCATAATGTTTTTGCTTCCGCTTCTTCGACTGAAAATGCAGGAACAAACGCACACAACAATGCTACAACAATGAATAGCGCAGTAACATGGGAGCTTAGATTAGCCATATTTTTTCTTATGCGTGGAATTTAGCGACTTATTCTTACTGTATGAAAAAAATGAAATGAAGTATGTATTTTTATTTGGTATTCTAGACAAGAAGCTACGTAAACTATTTATAGGTTATTGAGTATCCAACGTAACTAAAATAAATTATAAAATTAACTTAAGAAATTAATGTGAGTTTTTTTACTTCTTGACAAATTAATAAGCAATGTACGTTAAAATTAATCTTTTCGATCAGTTTTTTTTAAATTTAAATCCAAAATTTATGCAAGTAGTGATATCAAGTTCACCTTATAAAATTAATAATTAAATCTAAAATTTGTCAAAGTAGAAGCCAAATTATTGGATATGAAGTTCAAACTTTACATATATAAGATTTTAAATAAAATAACTACAAGGTTCAAATATTAAGTCCTCTAAATATATTTCATTATGAGTGTTTAAAAGGCTTACTCACATTTTGTTTCATGATGTTGGTCAGATGAAAAATCATATTTTAAATAACTCGTTTAATCCTAAAGACTAATAAATGGCACTTGAGTAATATAGTCGAAAGCTAGGGATATGGTCTAGATCCTTAACTAATAATTATGCAAAACTTTCCACCAAAAACTTAAGATATGATAGCTATCAATGGACGAAAAAAAATATTTCACGGATCCCATACTAAGTAAAAATGTTTGGAAAAACTAAAAGCTAAATAAAGAAAGTTGATTCAAAACATTCAAAAAGGAAGCAATAGATTGAACTTGACATAGTTAAGTGGTTGAGTGGACATTTTTATCAATGTTAACCTAGCCTACTTTTGGGTTTGGAGTGTAAGAAACTCTTGTAACGCCCCGACCGCCATCTCTCTTAATGGGCCCCACGTCTTCTCTCGGCCCGTGGGCCCACCAACTTTCGACGGTTGGTCCGCTCGTCCGAGAGGCTTTAAAGACTTGTTACCAACCCTACAAATCACCACATGATCTTTTCCTGTGTTTTGTCCTCACTCACACAATTTCGACAATCACTTCCCGGAAGGTCACCTATCCTGAAACTACTCCATCCCAAGCACGCTTAA